TGTCTCCTCCTACTAGAATGTAAGCTCCCTGACAGCAGGGAGTCTGTGTCTTTTGTTCATAATGGCACCCCTGACATCTGGTACAATGCCTAAAACATGCTAAGTGCTGAGTCAATATTTGTTAGATGGGTGATGAACAGATGAATGAATGAATGGCGCCTCGCTTTCTCTGGTCTATAGTCCAGAGTTTTTAGCCCTGGAGGACCTGCCCCAAATGTTAGGCTTCATCCCTGCTCCTTCCACTCTCCTCAGTCCCTTCCTGGGCCCCGAGTCCAAATGATCCTCCTCCTTCCTGACCTGTCTATCACCTCCATGATTTCCTCGTGGTATTTCCTATCTGGGAAGCCCTTTCTTCCTTTCTTTGGCAAAATCTTCTTTCCTTGTTTGAGAAAATTCTGTTTATTATTCAAGGCTCAGTATCAACGGCTCTGGCAAACCATCCGGCCTTGCAGGCGGAAAGTGGGATGACTTCTGTGCCCTTACCGAGGGTCCCTCACCCAGGTCTGGCCGGCACTACCCCTCTTCCTGCCCTAAACGCAACCCCAGCGCTCTGAGGTCAGCAGATGCGCTCACTTCCTCTCAGGCTTCCGCTCCTGGGTTTTCACCTCTTTGGTTTCTCTTCTCACAAAAAAGACTGCGGAGCATGTGAGGCCTCTGTTCACATGAGGACTTGGGCAGGGCAGGATTTTCTGTGTTTTTTAAACAAATCCAGGTTTCCCCCCACGCATACAGAAATAGAAACCTCCCCGACGCTCACCACGGGGATGGGTGGACCACACAAGGACAGGGTGTCTCTTTGCTGGCGACCTGCTTGCTGTGTAAGTCAGGGAGGAGGAGGCTTGGACTGTAGGTGTGTGCCATCAGTGCAAAGGAGAGGCTGATTTTAATCCCACGAAAGAAACCAGAACATGTCAAGCAAGGGCCGTGACAGGGGAATATGTAATCCTAGGCCCCTCCTGCAGATGGCCTTTGCCTCCTGCTTCCAGCTTGCAGCCCACTGTTTACATGGCGAGGGGGAAGCCCGGAGGCTGTGATTTCCACCTGAGAAGATTCACTTTCAGCTTGAGGAAGTGGTGGGCAGAGAAGAAGCACGCAGTCTATTTCCCGCCAGTGTCAGGGCGTCAACAAACTGCAAGGAGGTAGTAAAAATAAACTGAACAGGGCGTGTGGGTTCCAAGCAAAGCAGGCCTCAGGTTTTTGTGAAGGTGTCAGCCACACCTTGCCCACACCGGGCACCCTGTGGTCAGGCCCCTGCCAAGACATTGCAGCTTTGAAGCAGGTGTGTCCTGAGCCCCTGGGAGCCACTCAAAGCCTGGCACAGGGGAGGGGGAGCCTGGAAACCACACCACAGACAGAGCCTCATAAAGCCACCCTCTTCTCCAAAGGAGCAACATTATAACTGGGTGGCGCCTTCTTCATAGGAATTGGCAAAACAGAGATTCGAGGAAATAGCCAAAGTGATGCCACACGAGCAGCACCTTATTTAGCCGCCATCTCATTCATTTAAAATTGTTACTCCCTGGCCAGGTAGCTCAGTTGGTTAGAGCATCATCCCGGCCAAGGTTGTGGGTTCGATCTCTGGTCAGGACATAGGCAGGAATCAACCAATGAATGAATAAATGAGTGGAACGACAAATCGAGGTTTATCTCTCTCTCCCTTCCTCTAAAATCAATACAAACTGTTAAATTATACTTGAAGTCTTTTAAAATGGGCAAAAATGTATGGTGCCTATAATATTCTACCAGTGGCCAACAGGGGTCTTGGGTGGGGGGATGCATCTTTTGAATGAAGGAGTGGAACTTTAAACACAAATAAAAAAGGATAGGGACCTAACCTAGAGAACCATTTCCTCTCAATCAGTGGCTCTCAAAATTTTTGGTGCCAGGACCCCTTTATATTTTTTTAAATGATTGGATATCTCCAGGAGCTGTTGTTTAGTTTATGTGGTTATATCTACCAGTGGATACTATATAGACATTAAAACAGAATTAAAAAAATTTTTTTATTAATGTATCTAAAATAACAGCAATACATTTATGTATTGTTTGATGTTAACATAAATGTTATATGTGTATGAAAAATAGCTTTCAAAATGAAAAATGAAATGGTTCCCCAAATAAAAGACAACTGGATTCTTGTATATATTTTGCATTCAGTTTGTTGTGATATCAGGTTGTCTGCTTCTGGAAAACTCTAATGTGCATTCATGAGAGAATGACAGTAAAAGAGCAAATACCCTAGTATTAGTGTGAAAGTCATTTTGATCTCATGGGCCTCCTGCAAGGTCTCAGGGACATTCAGGGGCCTCCAGCCCATACCTTTGGAACCACTACTCCAGCTCAGTGCACCAGCTAAAATAAATATCAAGCCTTTGCTGGGCTTACAAGCCACTTACATGGCTTCCCTTCTTAGTATGTGCAGTAGGCAGAATTATGAGTGACCCATTTCCTGATCTCTGGTACATATTCCTGTATAATTTGGGGAACTTGTGAATACGATGGGATAGTCACTCCCATGATTAGGTTATGTATATTGCATAGTTGTCTTTAAGAATGGGAGACTCTTTCGGGGGTATCTGAGCTAATCAAGTGAACCCTTAAAAGGGCTCCTCCTGAAGAATAGATTAAAGAGTGCAATTTCATTCAATTGAACACAAGTGAGATTCTCTATTGCTGGCTTTGAAGGTGAAGGGAGCCATATGTCAAGGAATGCAGGCAGCCTTCACAGCGGAGATTGACCCCTGGCTGATAGTTAGCAAGGAAACGGGAACCTCAGTCCTACAACCACAAGGAACTGAATTCAGCCAATAACCTGAATGAGCTGAAAAGGATATTTTCCTCTGAGCCTCCAGAAAGGATTGCAGCCTGGACAACACCCTGATTCAACCTGGGATACCTTGAGCAGAGAACCTAGTCACCCCGAGCATGAACTTCAGACCTACAGAACTGTGAGATAATGAGTATTGTTTTAATCTGCTAAGTTTGTGGTACTGTTATACAACAGTGGAAAACTAATACAATATGTACTGTTTTAAATTTATTTTTAAATCACACAAATAATCATAAATACATCTTCCTTGTAAAAAATGAAAACATTATTGAGAGATTAAAAGTTCCTTTAGACTGCCCCCCATCCTAGCCTATCTTGAGCCCCTCCATATCCCTTTTTTCCTAGGGGTATGATATGAAACCGCCTTTGTTGGATATGAATCCTTCCTTCCAGACCTTTTTCTATCCATTCATGTGCATATTTATGTACCAACAGAAAATATATAGTACTGCTAAGGTTTATTTATTTTTCATATTTTAACTTCAGAACATTATTGGGATGAATGGTTTTCCACCTCTCTTAGGTTATTCACAGCTAGGATGTCCCTGCTCAGTTATAGGCTCAAGTCCAAGCCACCAGAGTGACATTGGTGGCTCTCGTTCCAAAGGAACCCGTAATGGTCATCTGGTCCCTGCCTTCATCCAGCGCTGGACCAACAAGGAACTTCAGAACGTCCTTCACTAACTCTCCACTGATTTAAAGAACAATGAATAGGTGTGGCCTTTGCAGAAACAAACCTATGGCATGCACCTGCCCTACCTCCGGGAGCTAGGACGAACCTTTGCCAGCGGACCACAGTGCCAGCCTCTGGAGGGTGGTACCCTGCCCAGGGAATAACCCCCCATCTTAGCTTCTGATAGAACGTCAGAAGCAGGTTTTCCAAGGTGGCGTTAGTGCTGGGCCCTCAGAAAGAAGTCCTTTCTCACCAAGCTCGGCCTCCAAACTCACAGAGCCGATGGGCCACAAGCCTCTGTGTGAAATGTGGGCACGTTCTGCGTTTCTGTAGCGGAGGACACATTAGCAGGGCCAGTTGGCAATGCCCTTCCTGCTTGGCTAAGCTCATCTCATCCTGTGCCCCCCTGACATCACAGAGGTCCTGACATTTTATAACAGCACAGACATGGCCTTTCGATCTTTGGCCTTTTGTGATGTTGAGTTGGCCAGGGAAGCTGGGGCTGCCTGCTTGCTCTGGGTGGGCAGGAAACCTGGCCAGTTCATAAATCCTTGGCTAGAGTGCGCCCGTTGACAGGGGTTGGTTACACTTACCACCTCCCTGCAAAGGCTGTACCCACCCACCCACATCCCTGGTCCATGATTTTCCATGCTTCCTGGCTCCTCAGGTAGGACCATCCCACACCCGTGAAAGCACAGGTGTCTGCGTGTGGCGCTGCCCGCGGGGGCCACAGCTTTGGGACAGGAATGCACGCATGGGGCTGACCCCTTGTACTTCTGTGTGGACGGGAGCATATGTTTCTGTTCCCCTTTCTGGTGAAATCTCCAAGCAGATACAATCACCAAGGTTCACCCAAGAGGAGAAACGTGTTTTGGGCGCCTCCAGACAGGGGTTTGAGTGAGTCTTGAAACTAGTCCAGGGCCACTGGGTACAGGCTTCTGAAGGTGACTTCAGGGAGTGGAAATACCCCAAACTTTCCTCCCACAGTCCATTTAAGCTGCCCCGAAATTAGGCGTCCAACGTGGGGTGGCCTGTGATGCATTCGGGCTGCTAAGTCAAGCCGGGCGAGGGCGCCCTGTCTCCCACGCTGGAGGCGTCCAGGGAGCTGGGGTTTTTGTGACGGCGACCTGGGTCCCGGGGCTGGGAGGGGGAACAGTCAGAGCCGCGCGGAGGGCGGCCCGGCGGAACGGGGGCTGAGCGGCGCCGTTCCGCTGAACCGCCGCTGCCGACAGGGGGCGGCCGCGCCCACTTCATGCGCTCCGTCTCGTCAGAGAGATCGGCACCGGGACCAGTTGCCTCACTGAGTCTGTGCAGCATCATCTCAGCGAGCGTCGTTCATTCTATCA